GGCATCATGGTGAAGCGGAAGAGCTCGGAAGGCCAGGAGCAAGAGAGCGGCCGAGGGGTCCCGCTGCCCATCCAGACCTTCCTGTGGAGGCAAACCAGGTAAGGGGGGAATAGGGGGCGCTGCTGCCCGGTTAAGCCTCGCCGGGGACGGAGAGAAGAAGGGGCGGGCGACCCCAGACCCCTGGCTGGGCATCTCCCTGCCTCTGACGGGGTGTCGTTCGTTTTGGAAGGATGCCTGTCACCCCGCGGGCTTAAAGAGCCCATTCACACGTTTAGAGCAGAGTCCAGGCGCTTAATGGGTTTTCTTCCTCACTTACACCCGGGACACTCCAGTCTGGGCTCCCTCGATCAACTAAACCCAGCACCCAAAAGCGGGCAAGCAGCTACAGCAGGGGTGACTGTGGCCCTCCAGATGTTTGTGGACTGCAGTTCCCATAATCCCTCATCCCAGTGCAGGCTGGATGCCTGGGAGGTGCGCATGGAGAAACTCTGAAGGCCCACCGTTACTCATCCCTGAAATCTACCAACTCTCATGGTCTGCTCACAGAGAATTGATGTGGGTGGTGACCCACTGAACCCCACAGTACCTCTGACTTCGTGGGCACTGCTTGTGTAACTCTGGAATTCTGTAAATATTAGTGATAGATTGTCCATATAGCACAGGAAGAAAGTCCCATTTCAGATTGTAGAGAATGTTACACTTGGGGAAGAACATGAACCCTCTAACTGCAGGCCAGCCTACCATAAAGTACTGGTGCCCTTTGACAAAAAGCCTCTCAGATCTCATTGAGGAATCCAGTGCACGTGTGTTCAGAGATCCCACCATAGATTCAATGGTGTGTACTCTTTGTAAGTATACACAGAACTGCAGCCTCAGTCCCACACCCTTAAAATATATCAGAGGCATCTGGAGAGTCAGTGTGGTGTTGTGGATAAAGTGGCAGACTAGGATTCAGGAGACCTGGATCCAAAATCCTGGTCACTTGTGGAAACTCACTGGGGAAAACAGGATGCCAATGGTAAACCACTCCTTGAGCATCTTACATACCTTGAACACCCTGTCAGGTTTGCCATATGTTGGAAGCAATTAGACAGCATATAATAGTAAAAAAGGAGGCAGACTGGGAGAATCACCACTGTAAATCTCTCTGTCTTAAAGTAGTATGCAAAGACACTCCCAGGGATATCCATTCCTTTCCTGTAGCAACAGAAAGGTAATCTACTGTGTTCAAACCATGGTTTCAATCATTAGAAACTCAAATTTATGGGTGACAGATAAATGATAATAACAAAAACAAATCACAACAGATTTGCATTGTTCTTAAGGCCAACATGTATGATAATGGCACCCAAAATGAGATTTCCCAATGACTTGCCCAATTTGCAAAAGTTCAACAGGCTAAAAGTTTAAACATACCTGCTAACGTGTTAAAATGCATACCATTTCTAGATGGTTTAGAATACTTCATATAATTATCTTGGCAATGTTTATAGCAGCCATACATTACAATAATACTTCCAAAGATCCCTTATGTCTGTTCTGTTATTCCAGTATTGGGTGTGAGAGAGGCATTTTTGCCAACAAGATTTGAACCGGAACTTTTGTCGCTCCCACACCTTAGGCTCACTACGTCTTCACACTATAACCTGCTGAAAACTATTTGAAAAGTGAGGGATCCCAGGCTGATACTTTTCTTGCTCTTGTTTAGTATTTTGCTGCTCAAGCTTAGAAGGAAATGGCTGCCTTAAGACATTTTAAGATAAAGCCTGGGAGGTTTGCATTTATTATGACTTACACACAAATCAAGCCATCATTTTAAAGTACAAGGAGATCAAAGCTGTGCAATATCATAGATCTATAAATACAGTAAACATCACCCAGCCAAACTGAAATCTTTCTATGCCCCATTTTTCCAATCTGCAGCATCTAAAGACATGCTTAGCTCTTTCACGGAAATCTGGAGAATCTGAAGTTCCTTCATCTGAGCCTGAATGATGCCTAATATGCTTATGAACCTAGTGGGATATATTTATTTAAAAGATGTATAGCCAATCTTTCAACTCGTATTAATATTCAAAACATCTTAACTATGATTAAAATGGCCCATTTAACTAACTAACTAACTAACTAAATAAATAAATAAATAAATGCAAACTATTCTTCTAAACAACAGAGAAGCAAATCTATTAAAAGAAATGTCCATAATTACAGTTCATCAAAGGACTTCATAAACATAAAGAAGTGAAAATAATTAATGTACATGCCAGGCAAGGGTGCTATGGAAATAAAGACCATCCTCACCCACTTCCCAGAAATAAACCCACTAGATCTCTTGCGCAGGATTCTCAATATAAGAATCACTCACAGCAGGGCTTTAAAACAATCATTTTCAACCATATTTTGGCCATGGCCATGAACACACTATGAAAGAAATTTAGGCCAAGTCTGGCTTGTATCAGTCACACAATGAACCTTATAAGATGGTCTGTGTTCCCCTTCAAATGTGCGAAGGCCTGCCATTGAGTATGGCTGCTTTAAAGGATGACCCCAGCAAACAAGCATGTACATGTGTATGGTAAAAGCCTGTTCTTCAGAGACCCAGGCATTTGTAGGTGTTGATGGAGAATAACATTGTATGATGGGAGGTTGTACAAACTAATACGTTTGCTACCAAAATAGCTTGCTGAAGCAAAAGCCAGAGGGAGTCCAGTGGCACCTTTGAGACTAGTAATTTTTTTCTTTGGCATAAGCTTTCATGGACTGAAGAAGCAAGCTGCAATCCACAGGTTTATGGCCAATAAAAGTTGATAGCCTTGAGGTTGCTGCAGAACTCTGCTGGTTTTGATTTTGGGGTCAACCTCACCTCCCTCCTATAAACCAACATGGCCAAGAGAAGGCAAATCCCCCCATTTGCCTGTTCTTAATGTGACATAAGTGCTTGGAAATGGCCCTTTGAAGTGGGAATTACTGTCCATTCTGTAACATGGAGTTTCCTCAGGAAAGTGTACACACACATACATACATGCACATATAAACACCTTTCTAGCCAGAAGGAGTTTCCTCAGGAAAGTGTACACACACACACATACATACATGCACACACAAACACCTTTCTAGCCAGAGCACTATCAATAAATCTGCCAATGTCTTTGTAACCCAATGTATTTGATTGTGTGCTGTTCCTATAGTCCATTTTGTTAACATCCATCCTTGTCTTTCCTCAGTGCATTTTTAAGGCCCAAACTGGGAAAACAATATGAAGCTTCATGTGTGGTATGTGACTTTTTTTTTGTTTTGCATGCAATAGTTTATTTTTAAGCTGAATATACAGTAATATAAATCTTTGTTACACGCAATGGTCAAATGCAGAATTTATTTTGCCATGGTAGAAATTGCTAAACATGTGATTCGAGATAGACCATCACTGCTATATAGAATATGACAAGTTGTTTTCTTCAGATATTGAGCATTTTTATAGAAACCAACAGGGCAAAATAATATGAATAATCTTTTAGTATATGAATGATCTTTTGAAATAAATCAAAGTGTATATTTTGTTCACTTGCTAGATAGCACAGAGAGTTGGATACAGAAGTTGTCAGGATGCAGAAGTTGGGAACTTGATTCTCCACTGTGCCTCCTAAAAGAAGAGCCAACCTGCGTAGTTTTGGGCAAGCTGCACAGTCCAAGATCAACCAGTCCTCTATCCCTATCTTGGTTCTGGAAAATATATGACGCCAGTGCCTCAGGCACTGTGTATTGATGCTGATATTTTGTTATTAGATACAGCAAGCCATTTCACACGGACCAGACTATTTTCACCTGAATTCATGACTCCCATGTTCTCACAGAATATAGCAAGTCTTTAAAATGTCTCCCTACAAAAGCAATGGTCCATATCTATTCTAATTTCCAGGAAGTCATCTCTATGTATGGGACTGCCTCATGAAGCACAAATGAATCCATTTCTTTACCGTTCCTGCTGTATGGTGTAGAAAGAATGGTCTCTTCCCCCATTTTACTGAAATTCTCACATTCTGATGCTTACAAGCAGAACTTCAGCTGCTATGTGCACACTCATACACCATGGATGTGGTGATGAACGTCTGAACTCTTCCATATAAAAACCCTCCCAAAACAAAATGTAATATCAGAAATTGGTTCCCCCCACCTCATGATATTTGTGTGTGAGTGTATGTATGTGTATGCATACATGCATGTGAGGAAGTGCTTTGTGGGGAAGCAGACAAATATTCATGTAAAATTAGAAGAGTCGTGACAGATGCACTAGACCTGGCTTCTGTGTGTTTTTTGTAGCTCTTTGCTTATTTTTGGGAACCCAAGTAAAAAAAAAAAAAGAACATTAGATTGCATTTCAGGCTTCATAGTACAATTAAGGCTCCTGGGGAAAAGTCACTATCTGGCGTGCAATGCCACACAGTCTTGCACCAAGTAAACAGTCTCTTTATTTTGGAGCCATGTATAAATGTATAAATATTTGCCATATATGCTCACTCTTATGTTTGAGGAAGTGAACTTGTCCATTAAAGCTCACATTGAAATATAGCAGTTAGTCTTTAAAATGTGACAGTATTTTACTATATAGATATAGATGTAGATGTGGGCACAAACCACCAAAACAGCAGTTCGTCTTGGCTTGTGGTTCATGGAAGCATTTATACATGAACCATGAATTTACATTTCTTTCCCAAATGAACCATGACTCAAGTCATGAGTTCATTCGGGATATATATATATATCCTGAAAAAAGATGCCTGGCTGCCTCCACACCCCACAGCCTGCCCCTCACCCGCTTCCCCCTGCCCCCATTACATCCCTATCTTCTTCTGCCTCTGCCTCCTTCTCTTCCTCCTTCTCTGCTGCCACCACCTTGGAATGCAGACAGCTCCAGCAGGCCCACTGTCTCCGCTCATGTTCCTGCCTGTTTTTGCAGCCGGTGGGGACGTGGCCACCTCCTAAAAGGAAGGGAAATTTTTGTTTGTTTCTTTGTTTGTTTTGCAGCCAGCCAGATCCTGGCAGCCTGCTAAGAAAAAGAGGGAGGATTATTA